TATTCCGAAAAACATTATTTTAAATAGCTGAAATGAGTCTTTGCAACCTTGGTTACAGCTAATCGCTATTGTGACCCTCTGAAAGCTAAATTGATATGTTTTATGTGTCATACACACACTTTACCTTCTGTTCTTGCATCTTGTAAATAAGAATTATCATTAAAATATTTCATAGCTTCATAAATCCGAAAAATAGCATTTTAGCTGTAATGAGCATTTGCAAGCTTGTTCAGAGTAGCCCGAGAGCCTGCTGAGGAATTTACAAAACTTCAGAGAAGTTTGCAGATCTACTGAGAAATTTATTGAGCCTTAAGGTTTTTTTGTAGATCTTGAGAAAAGAACTAAGGAGCTTCAGACAACTTTACAGAACATTGAAGATATTTGCAGGAATTTTTCAGAAAGCTTCACAGTTTCAGAAAAATTTGTAAAATGTAGGGTAGAGAACTACTTCGGCCTAATCGCCCATTTTGGGCCTATCGAGCAGAAAACTTCAAATAAATCCATGATTTCAGAGTTAACAAGTCAATTATGCGTTTGGTACGATACTTTAGTTAATAAGCTTCCGAAAGAAGTCAATGAGAACGCGTGGTATGAAGGTTTGCACCCATTATTCCCAAAAACAAAAGAAGCGCTCCGACCGAATCAATTTTTATCTTCATCCGATAGGCCGAAGTGAATTTATTGGCGTTTCAATGGTGTTTCAATGCGTTAGGCCGAGTTTAGAATCCGTAGGCCGAGTTTGGCGTCAAGAAGCAGTGTCAGACTTTTGACAATATCTCAACGATTAGCTTCTCTTTATCAAATCTTACGGTACGTACGGAAAGGTAAATAAATTTGAAAGCCATCAGTAATAATAACATTCCGTTTGGTGCTAAACTGCGCTAAAATAAGAAAGACTAAGTGCGGGTTGTGCTTAATAGGCCGGAAATGGGGTAGTTAACCCTACATCAATTCCAAACACAAATCGCAGCGAAGTTTAAAAATCCAAGATTATGCAGAACTCCATGGAAGTTGGAAATAGATAGATCTGAAGAACTTCAGATAAATATGTAGACCTTAAGAGAAGTCTGCAGCATGCTTGGCATGTACAGTTTTGCTCACGAACTGCTCATTTGCTAATAACTTTGCACAGAGTTGACGAAACATAGTTCGGTTTGAAGCAGTCGATAGAATAGAGTTTAAGCTTTTTATAGATTTGTAAAAAATGCATATTTTAATTCTAGTAATAAACTGTATTTGATTTTGCGTTGCAAAAATGAAGTGAGAAATGCCTGCTACACATCTCGGACTTTAAGTGTAAAAATTCATTGGTGATGATTCAAATGATAAGATTTAACTACTCTTTGCATGTTGACAGTAAACTATGATCCTAATCTATCAATTACTTTAAAGAAAACTAACTTTCAACAACTGAATGAAGAGTTATTAACAAATGAGCAGTTGGTGTGTACAACTGTGCATGCCAAGCATGGTCTGCAGAACGCCAGACAGTTCGAACGTTTTTAGAAAAAAATTGCAAAACTTCAGCAAAACTCACAGAACTTCGGGAAAGTTCGCCGATATTTAGAAGTATTTACGCAACTTAAGAGATATTCCCAATTCTTCCGATAGAGTTTTAAAACATTGGGGAATTTCTAAGAATTTAAGATAGATCTGCGGAACTTTATGGAAATCCAAGAATCCACAAAGAAATTTACAGAACTTTAGAAAAGCTCGGCGATCTACTTAAAATTTTTATTGAACTTCAGGATTGTTCGTAGATCTTCAGAGCAGAAATACAGTACTTCAGAAAACTTTATTGAATTTGAAGTTTTTTTAGAAACTTCAGAAAAGTTCAGAAGGTAAATCGTAAATCTACTGAAAAATCTGCAGATGTTTGAATAAATTTTAAATGATTTTTATTGCGGTTCTTGGATTTTAAGAGAAATCTACAGAACTTCAGGTAAGTTCGCTGATCTTTAGAGATATTTGCACAACTTCAGAAAAAAAGTAAAACTTCAGAAAACTTCCTAAAACCTCCGGAAAGCTCAAAAATTTCTAGATAATCTTTTAATTCTTTAGAAAATTGTGTAGATGTTCCGAGATATTTGCAGATATTCATTGAACCAGATAGATTATTAGAAATTTTGTGAACATCAGAGATAATTGTTGATCTTTGAGGATCTTAAATCTTCAGGGATTCAGGAACTTTTAAGATTTTTAGGAAAATTTGCAGATCTTCTGAAGAACACACAGAACTTCAAAGAAATCTGTAGAACTACCGGAAATTTGCAGATCCTCAGGAAAGTTGGTTGATCTTTAAAGATATTTTACCGGAGAACAAGAACAAAACTTCAGGGACGTCCGAAGGTCTTCAAATAAATGTGCAGAATTGAGTTCTTAGCAGAAATTTTTAGAACTCAAGGAATCATGTAGATCTAAAGAGAACTTTTCCCACTAACTTGTCGAAAGTTGGTATCGAGATCCTGGAAAAGTTTTAAAATCCATTGTTATCTTCATATCGCAGTTCTTGAAGGACAAGACGAGCCAGATCCCTGCCGGTGTTCCTCCTGAGCAACCATTTCACACTCCACAAAGTACACCTTCTCCTTCTCATTTTATTTAAAATAATAAAAGTAAATACGCCTGCCGAAGCTAGAGCAATTTTGCGGTAATTCATGATGGAAGTATTTACTTTTGATTCCTGATACAGTTTTGTTTTGAAATCTAAATTGACAGTTCTTTCGACATGTGCAAGCAGTGTGAACACCAGCAAACAGGGGGGCTCGACAAAGTGTGTCGAATGTAAATTTGAGCAGATTTTTCATAATGGCGGCGATCAAAATCAGACCAAGAAATCAGATAGTCTAAACGGACCTTTACTTCGTTCTTCAACATTGCTGAACGAAATGACATTGAGATTAGCTGCTAATTGCTGCTTACCCGCAAGATACACCCCTTTAAATATTTATTTATTATTATTATAGTCCATCTGACTTGATAGTCTCAATGAAACACTTAAATCTAAATGTAGTCACTAATTAAAAATTAAAAATTGGCCAACAGCATACGATGACGAAGCATCGAGGCATTGATGTCAAAGTCAAATAGGTCAGAGGCTTCGTTGAATTGATGAATCATGGCGACAAAGGAACTGTTTGCAGCATAGTTGGTTGCATGTACTACTTCATGTAGCAAGGTTCTCGGACGAAGTGTTCGGGCAGGAGCATACAGATTAATTTTGGCCAGTAACTCAGGAACATCATATTCTGCGAGTAAAACTTTAGCAACGAAGACCACCTGCGATATGTTTCGTCGCTTAGCAAGAGTATCCAAACCCAGTAAACGACAGCGGTCAGCATACGGTGGTAAATTCAGCGGGTCACTCCATGGAAGATAGCGCAGTGCGTATCTGACGAATTTGCGTTTAACAGCTTCGAATCGTCCACTCCATACAGCTTGGTAGGGATTCCAGACAACACACGCGAATTCCAGTAGTGAGCGTACCAATGAACAGTAAAGGGCTTTAAAACACAGAGGATCACGAAATTCCTTAGATATCTTGAACATAAATCCAAGCTGTCGATTAGCTTTGTCGATCGTGGTTGAGAAGTGGCGAGTGTATGTGAGCTTTTCATCCAACATGACACCGAGGTCTTTAACGTGATCGACACGTTGAACTGCAGTTCCAGCAACGTTATAATCAAACAAAATGGCAGTCCTAGTTCGACGGAAACTAATTACGCAGCACTTTGAGACGCACAGGACCATAAAATTACGTTCACACCAATCATTAAAGATTTCAAGAAGGTTTTGTAGTTCTAAATAGTTCTAAAATATAGTGCAAAAACATTCTAAAACGGACCCAAATTGTTAAAACGAGGTGATAGCCGTTTGCTTCCTTTTGCGTGTACACGCTTTTTCAAGACAACCCAAATTTGAGTAGGCACTACTCATATCCGTCAAAAGTAGGGCTACGTTGACGAATAGACAACGTGGACCTGAATCCGAAGAAACGTTGCTCATTTGTCATCTAGTCAGTTCCAACTTTGTTTACTCAATTTTGGGTAACCCTACTTTTGACGGATATGAGTAGATCCTACTCAAATTTGTGGTTGACAGAGATAGGGGTTATTTCGTTGCCACCTATCGTACAACTAAGAGAAGGGCATTCAAATGGAGTCCACAGTGGGGTACACCCCGCAGCACAACGGCGCCGCAGAACGTTACAATCGAACATCAATTGTAAATATGAGAGCCACCCTAATAAAAAATAACCATAAACGAACGACAACCCAAATAATAGAACTATTCCACAAATGGTTTGGATGATACCTGGAACACGTCGTTAAGCAAAATAACCATAACAATTTTATTAGGGCATGCTGTTGGAATCCATTGCACCGAAATATCTTTGGAGAGAAGCTATCCTGACCGCAGTGTACGTGGCTAACAGAAGCCCGAGTGAAGCTATATACAAGGTAATCAAACCCTTGCGGAAAGATGGCACGATGAAAAGCTAGATGTTACGAATTTAATAGCGAATTTGATTATTATACAGGTTGGCACCAGTTCCAACCCGTGCGAACCCGAGCTTATTGTCAGTGCGAACCTCAACCCGAGCCAGATTACAAAACAAATTCGCTATAAGAGAGTTTCGAGTGTTCCGATCTTAGGTTGGTCATACCGGAGGAAGTTCCACCAGTTTTCGAGCAAGACGGGAAGAACATGATGATCAAGATCAACCGAAAGATGAGCCAAACGATGATGATGATGGTGCTCGTGACACTACTGATAGAAATTCGGATGCTGAGCAAGAGTTTAACGATGAAGAAGCATCGGCACTCGCGACACAATCAGACACCATTGCAGAAGTTAACGCTGACAATATCAACAGTTATCGATTAACAATCCTGTTCCTGAGTAATACAATCGTACACGTAACGAACATCTTGCTTATATAATTTGAGTCCATTTAAAAAAAAATCATATGACATATATTCGTATCAAATCAGACTTACCGTTTAACCTCGTCTGCACTCTGCGCGATGAAGAAGCCTTGCGTATTGGCGTGTATCTTAGCACCTCGTGGATTGATGGAAATTTTGCTGTCAGCACCTTCCTCGCCCTTGATCTCGATCGCCAGCAGCAGCAGTTTCAGTTTGGTGAAGCACAACCTAATTCGGTGTCATCGTGTCATCATCATTCATTTCGGTGGACACGACAGGGAGGGAGACATTCAAGGGACACACGGGAAAAGTGAAAACAAATGAATTAGTGTTTCACGTTTGAAATTTATCGGCAATTTTTTTTTTTTTTTTTTTCAAGGAAGGATCTAGAAAGGACGGAGGATTTGGGAGAAAAGTGTTAGACTAGGAAATTGTTGTATTTTCCAACTTTCCGAAAGGTACAGTAATGCTTCTAGGTGGGTTGTCCAAAGTCGTATCTTCTATACATCAGTGGGGGGGAGTGTCGCCGAATTGAACGAAGCAGTGCTGTACTCTCATTTCAAATTGATTATATCTTGTTTATGCATTCCTATCTTCCTCTACTTGAGTAAAAGCTCTATTAGTAACTATAATTAGCTAAATATTTGCCTGAACTAGTCTAAATTCAACGGCTACATTGATTCGCGAAAAAGAGCTGTGCTGGTCTTCCGAAAACGCTGTGCAGAAGTCTGCTTGAATTGAAGAATTTGTTTATGATAGTGCAGTTAAATTGCTTTCATTCACAGAGTGACATATGAACTCGTTTTTTTTATTTTTGTAAAGCTTCTATGTGCATGCAAGAAAATACTACTCACGATATATACAGCGAAATCAAAAGTTTTGAAGCATAAAATTGCAAGCAAACTTGAACGTTTTTTTTTTAGATGGCTCAGTGCAGTTGGTGAACTATTTTTTTATTATTTTAGAACTTCTTGTGATACAATTTCCACCTGAATGCTACTATAGTTGTTGCCTATAGTAGCATATGATCGTTCCATGAGCATGTCGAAAATTTGGTTATTGTTTAGAGTAAAAAGTTCAAAACACTACGGTTCCAGTTCAGCGGGTGATTGGCGCGCGATGAGTTGCTGCATTCTATTCTAATTTTAGTAGAGAAAAACATGTTTGCTCAACCCATGTGATGGGAATGGATTCTTTGGTTTGGATGACAAAAGCAAGTTCTATTCTACGTTAAAAATGGGCAATCCAGCAAGGGCTATTTTTGTTGTCATTCCAAAGGAATCCAAAACTTGTAGGTGATTAAGGAAAAAAAAAAACAAATTCAAGACATATGCAATAGTTATTGTATTAGGAATAAATTAACACACAACAGGAAGACGACTGGTACTGTTGGGGCAATGAGAAAGAAATAGCAAAAAGGGAGGGCAGTATTGGGAACGTATAGGATGTTACAAAAGAGTTGAGTTTTTTTGTTGTGTTAGGAAGCTAGTACTGGTAGACAAAAACGGGATTCTTACTCGCTGGCTTGTGGAAAAGTCATGCCGGTAAAAGAAGGTGACAAGGTTTCGGTATACATCTCACATCCGGTACCCTGCAGGTAATCATTTTGCCAGGCCTGTGTATCTGGCGACTGCAAGTAGGCGTAGTAAAGAGAATCGATGAAATCAGGAAACGGAAAGCGCATAAATAAGTAGAAATGAAAACGATAAAAACGATAAATAAAACGAAACAACACCGATGCTGATGAAATGGACCACTGGTTACTTGTAATCCAGGGTGCCGCACTCCGTCAAACAGAAGGTAATTTGATGATTTGCTCGTTTACAGTTTGTTAAAAAGAAAACATAGGACAAAACTAAATAAACAAAACATACAATAGACAGAGTAAAAGTTGTAATGGAACAGCACAAATAATGAGTTTAACACTGCCGGTAAATTCCGTGAAACTGAACAACTGCTCGTTTGTTTACTCGTGATACATACAAGGGATACCTGGATGACTAGATTGAAACATGGAAACAATTAATCATCTCGCTACACAAACTACCATAAGTAACTAAATTATTCATTCCCTTAAGCTCATAGACGTTTCTTGCTAAGTTCAAAATTTGTTACACTCATCGTTCGTCAGTCATTTCTTCTGCAGATGTGGATATTTTCGGACTGTTTTATTCGTATTTTACCTTGGTCGTTCAATTACACAGGCCATCTATTGCGAGCATGGACAATGGCAACGGAAAATAAAGCAATCAATGATGCTCTTGCACAGTTCATTCAATTGACTTTTCAAAATGTCATATACGATCATTAGAGAAGGCATTCTTAATTTTTTTTTCTGTCGAGGCACATCGAAAGCAACAAGTTGTAAACAAAGGAAAGCATATTTTTGGCATATATTTTTTTTCAGGGTAAAGCTATGGAAGCGAACTGAAGGTGTGCAAAATAACGGATTAAAGCCAAATTCAGTTGAAGCAGAATTATGCAGTGAATACTCTTTATATTGAAGTTGGTTTGCTTTGTGTCGGAAAACACATGTTCTTCAGCACTGTTGTACACGTTTGAAGAAATGTTGATACTTGTACTTGTTGAGTTTACTATCACTTTCGCTACTGTTGGCAATGCGTATTTAATTAATTCTAAAAAAATATACAATTATGGGTAATTATTTTGAGGAAACGTTGTTAATTGATTTTATGAACATAATGTTTCTATTTCCAGCTCGCATTTTAGCGAACAGGTCGGATCACATTACACAATTGCATCTCGATGCACATCTGGAACTGCCACACGTGTGAAGAAACTGAATGTATAAGGATGATGATAATAATAATAATAATAGACCGTCCACAATTGGACGTAAATTTAAAAAAAAAAACCCTATAATACATTCACGTAGATTTATTATGAATCACTTTCAACCGGATGATTGGATAAAATTTTCAATGCTGGTTTGCCTGAATGAAATAAATTTAATTACGTATTTCTCGTATTGACCAGGCACTGAAAAAGATCGGGTTTCATAATCTACAAACCTGAATCTGGCAAATGATTTGCCTTCTGAATTCGATCCGAATGATAATAAAATATTGTCGAACCTGAATCCGACTGTTCGGAATCCGAACATAAACAAACTGCTATCAAAATTTCGATGCAACCTGGCTGAATGATATTGTCGCTACAGCTGAAAGCTGGAAGAAACCCCACTAGCGAAAATCGATTTTACTTTCGTTCTATACGTTATACATATTGCCGACACTGCGTATAACGTATAGAACGAGAGTAAAATCGATGTTCTCTAGTTGGTTCCAGATTAGTCTAGTTTTCAGCTGTAGAGACAATATTTCTTCATTATAGCTGCACTATACTGAAATGTTATGATAGGTTTTATATCAACTGTTAACCCGTTTCGGTTTGACAAATGAACGTTAGAAAAGTCGCCTTATGTGCTAATCTGTCAACCAGCGAATCCAAACACATAAAGCAACCAACGATACAGACAAAACGGTTGCTACGACTACCATGACAAACTCGCTCTGTAACATAGCTCGATCGGAGTGGTAAAAGGATAATGATACATTGCTTGCCTGCTTTGTTGTAATATACACGGATTAGGACATAGCTTGATCTGAATCGAGAAAAGACATAACAAAAAAAATCCCATTAACACACGTGTATCATCTTCGGCTTTACTTCGTGAAGCAGTTTGCAAACAATTTGCTCGTTTCCTTCTACCGCCCCGAGTGAGCTGTGTCGCACGGGCTGCTTGTCATGAAAAAAAATGAAGAAGATTATATCATTATTGCTTTCCACTTCTGACATAGCGTTATCATTCGGTTCATTTATCGCTTGTCATTTTGTCATTTTGAGATATTTTTGATTCCTTGCAGTCAACATATTCCTAGGGAAATTTTAGAGCAGGTGGGATAAAGTAACACACTTTTTCCAATACATAGTCGTTCAATATATCTCAGTGATTGAGTAAAATTGTGTTGCTAACACTTTTTTCTCACCGTAATATTATTCAATTACACTAAAAATTTTGCTTACTGAAAGGGCTTATCGTACACAAATGTTTACCAGCAACTTGTTTTCTTACAGTTGTTAAAGAAAGACTGAAGAAAGATGCAATTTCTTATTATCAAGCATGGGAAAATCGTTTCATTTTGCATTAACTACTCACTCACCTGCTTACAACATCAGAAACGAGCAGTAGCTTGTCCGAGCCGCACTGATTTCGATCGTATTCTTATTGATTCTATTTTCTGCGATGAACGCAGAATTGAGAAAAACAGATATGCATGATTTCGAGTGAAGTTATGTGGATGATTCCTCACTTATTATTTGTTGCATGCTGAGCCTTTTACGATTGCATTCTGCTGAGTTGGCTGAGTGAGAATTTTGCGGAACGAATCACTTCTTATTTTAAAGCTTTAAACATAAATTGACACATTTAAATTGGTATCAACATGAAGAAAAGAATTAAACTGTAACACAAAAACGTAACCGTCACGCAAATACTGTAAAACTGCTGTGGCCGATTCAACTGATTTATATCACTGAGCCAAAAAAAACATCTCACTCGGCTATTTAAATCGTTAACGTTCGCTTTTTACGCATTCAATCGAGTTCTCCCCTTTACAGTTGTTGACAAAAGAGGTAGCTAATATCAAAGCCTACAAAAGCATTGTGCACTATTTCATGGAATTCTGTTGATGAAAAAAGTTAGAGACAAATGAATGTAAATGAATGCACGAAATGAATGTAAATGATTGTCCATCCCTGGTTCCAAGTATTGGCGTTGACGGCACCGTCGATAAGTCACCTCTTCTAGCTAATATTGACAGTTTCTTATTTTCAGTAGAGTGAAAGAATAGTACGATAGTCGCCATGTTTCACGCACAGTCTGACGTTTGCTTAAGGATTTTACCGTAGGAGTAAAGAGCTACAGAGTCGCCGGCAACGCCAATACCTGCATAGTCACTTGTTGGAAGAATTTACACTCGTCCGGCAACTGTTTGTAGGTGAAGATGACTATTTTGTTTCTGTGATGCTCGCGCGAGTGAATGAATTTTCCCATGCTTGCTTATTAAATTATAAAAAGTCCCGTTCAATTAGTGAACGTTTAGTGTGTCATAAAAACTGGAGTTATACAGAGCTCTGTGTATCTCCAATTTTTAAGATAATTGAGTGATATTTTCGTGAGAGAAAATTAAATAGCAATACAATTT